ATGAAATTGGCGAAAAACAAAATTCGCTTTGACTTGTAGTTTTCGAAAGGTGACTCGAGCGCTCGCATTTAGTGGTCGTGAAAAATTCGACAATTCATTCTATTGCAAAATTCTTGGTATAGTTTGATAGCCAGCTCTATGAGCTTTAATTTGATATAGGGGTTTAGGTATCTACAGCTTAAACTGCGCGCGCTACATCGCTTGCACGCGAGACACCCCTGAAGGTATACTGTAACCTTAAGGACGTTCGCGCGAAAATTTTACGACATTGTTCTTTTTCTGAGACTTTTACCATTGTAAGATGATAAGTTAGTAATGTCAGAAATGTAAAAAACAAAAAAATGGGGGGTCACCGACTTCGTTTTGGAGAGAGCATGCCCGGAAGAACACTCTAAATATGAAAAAATCGCGATTTGTTTGCGAATAAGGCCGCAGTGTCTGTAAGCCCAAAAATATTGAAATTAGTGCTATGAAGTGAAATGTTCTCTGCCAAATATTGTTTAAGTGGACCTATTAAGTGAGGTTCCTTAAAAAACAAGTTCGCATTTAGCGACCATAGTTTCACGCGCCTTGCGGCTGCAAGATGGCAGAATTCGATGTCCCGTGGACAGAAATCTTGAATTTAATTTTTTTTAACTTCCTAAATTGATATTTTGTTCATTTTTGGACAATGTGGAGATAATTGTAAATAAAATCTGTTTCTGGAAAGAAAAGTAGGGGTCACCGAACGTCCAAAATCGTTAAATCCAAGCAAAGCTATAGTAATAGCCATCTGTCCTATCATTGTTCACGCGCGTTCATGCATGACGTGGCGTGTGAATTATTGTATTTGCGTGCGCAGAAAGGATGCGCAGAAACAATTAGCGCGAACGTACTTAACTTCTTGTAAACCTTACAATTTTGTAAGGTAATCAGTTATAACTTTTATAGGTTTAAGTATTGTTCAGTCCGTAGCTCTAAGAAAAATACGGGCAGAAATTAAGACGAAATCCGATAGAAAATCGAGCAATTTCAGGTTTTAGTGGACAAGAATCTGGTACCAGAATAATTCTAACTATTTTACAGTCATTTTTGCATTTTCTTAAAGCTAAATACATAAATAATTGCCTGAAATAACACCGAAAATTATTTCCCTTTGGAAACGAGAGAAAATAAATTTCAAAGTTCAGAGAACTTGTGCAAACACAGGCAAAATTTCATCATCAGTTTCATTTCACCAGTATTTTCAAGTGTTTCATATGAAGTTCAACATTCGTTTTCGACGTTTGGTGTTGCTAGAAATGATTTTTTTTTCTTTTGAGAAGATATTTAAAACAGTTGTACAGAAGTTTGCAATACGATGTAAACAATCTTGGTACTAGGTTTTTGTCCACTTGTTACTCGAACTTCTGGTGGATTCCGTCTTAATTACTTAATTGTCGACTCCTCATTGGGGCTTTTTAGGACCAATGTAAACAAACAATGATCAAAATAAACATAACTAGGTTAAGAATCCCAACTGGCGCGAGGCAGACCAGTTGGTTATTTGCACGCGCAGCCGAGAAGTTGAACTCGAGGCTACCGAGAACAACATCACCTAGCGGTCAGAACGGGATTTGAACCCGGGACCTACGGATTTGAAATCCGGCGATCTAACCACTTGGCCCCGCTGCCACCCTCGAAATAAAAGTCCGTCAAAAGAAAAAATCATCATCGTCAAAATAAAACTCCGTCAAAAGAAATAATTTGTTGGCTGATTTGCTTGATCTCGGGGTCATTCTCTATTTTCCAATTGCCCATAATACACTCTGTTTGCCCCCCAAATTTTGCATAAGCTATTGTTGTGAAATACTGTTGGGAATATGCAGACCTCCCAAGAGTATTTCAGAACAATAGTTTATGCAAAATTTGGGGGGCAAACATGCATGCGTATAGGCGTTGTAAAAAGCAGACAAACGTCTCCATTTATAGATTTCAATGGATATTTAATGCCAATGTATTTAGTGAGCTAGCCGTACATACCGAAAGTAAAATGATAATTTTTACGAGTGGACCGCTGCAAGGTTTCAGACTTTTTTTTCAGGTAAATTTTGTATACAGTCGGCAAGGAGGGATGTTGCTGAAACGCAGAACTGAGAACGGGCAACGGGCAACGGGCAACGGGCAACGGGCAATGGGCAATGGGCAACGGGAAACGGAAAACGGGGAATGGGGAACAGGGAACGGGGAACAGGGAACGGGAGTCTGGGAAACAGTGTACAGCGGTAACCCGCCTAAGAAATCAACATGGCGGACAAAGGAAAAGAAAAGAGAACAATTTGGGGAAATGTGAGGAAGTGGTACGGAAGTGGTACTGGGAATCTGGGATAAACAAAGCATGAAATAGCGCCTGAGGAGAAAATCGAATCGATATTATCACATGCTACCCCAATCGGTCAGCACAAAATGCAGACTAGGTACAAAATGCAGACTGCAGACTGGGTACAAAACACAGACAGAGAATAAAGACTGCTTTTCTTCTGATACGTGACAACGTGTCATCTAAAAAGATACCGAGTGTCACGCAGTCGCTTTTCGGCGGTCATCTTCCAGCGACATTAGCATTATTGTCGAATTTTCCTTGCTCGTTTCTTCATATATTTTGTCTTTAACAAAGCGGCCAGGCCACAGGTTATTTATCCGCTACTCACCTGATTTGCCAGCTGACTTGCCGATCTCCGAAAGGCCGCCATGCTAGCTGTAGCATGTCAAATGCGAAGACATCGGACGACCCACGTTCAAAGATGATCATGTGTTATGTCACTCGTCCTCGATATCACACTGCGTGTTGCTATCGCGCTCAAAGTGAAAAGATATGAGTAAACTATGGAGGCTTGAAATTCCATTTAAGAACGACTGTGGCCTGACCGATTGGGGACGTAGCTTGTGATAATACTGATTCGATTTTCAGCCGGTAGAAACTCACGTTAACAACCGTACCACTTCCTCACATTTCCCCAACTTGTTCCCATTTCTTTTCCTTTGTCCCCAAACTCCTGTTCCCCGTTCCCCGTTACCAGATTTAATAACATCCCTTGAAACTCGTAACGCGTGTGAGTTTAAAGACTTTCACTGATCTTTTACTTCATGCAAGAGCCCCATCTGCCCATACAAACAATTACCTACTGTGCTCACTTTCTGACAGGGTGGACTAAGAGAAACAGATTATATTATTCCACTTTTCAAAAGACCAGTAAAACAGGAGTCTTCCCTGTTCTCACGGTTTCTGTTTTTTTTTTTCTGTTTTTTTTTGTTTTCATTTCATTTAAAGCTGACTCTTTGGCTCCAGCATGCAAAGTCTGTTGTTTTTTATCACCTTGATCCACCTTCTAAACAACTCTGCCGCCCACGAAGGTGGAAATTCATGTTCAAATTGTGTTCAAATCAATGGCTGTATCTCCGGTAAAATGCGAGTGGAGGAGAAGTTCAAAGGTAATGTCAGTGTCTCACAGCTTTCCGAAGGTGACTTCATCCGCGGAATCACTGGAGCTGAACAGAAATCTGCGTGGTGCAGGGTGGAGGCCATCTTCCAAGTACCGAACAGTCAGAACCAGACTACTTACGACGGATTCACAGCAGACCACATGGTCATCGATGACACTGTCCGTCCATATGGTA